AATAACGGAAGACAGTCAGATATTAATTCCCATTCTAACGCAGTTAAAAAATTTGGAGCATGAGGAAGAAATGTTATTGCGGCAGATAACGGTGGTTTAATTTGAATAAGTCTTTCTAACATTATGAAACTAGAATTCCATCTGGTACTAACGTCTTGCTTGAATTTTAATTCGGGAACATTCATTCGATTTTGTATTTCTTTTAATTTTGTAGACGCGGAATCACTATGTCCAACCAATGCTCGGGATTTTTTTAGCACATTAAATAACTCTTCATTTGAAGTAATTGCATCATTAACAATTAAATTTAATGTATGCGCAACACATGGATGGTGATATTTATGAAGGTGTTCATTTATCGCATTTTTTATATTCGGCCCGTTATCTGAAATTATTGTTACTATTTTGTCTAAAATACCCCACTCAATTAAAATAGCTGAAATTGAAGTAGCAAGTTTGCACCAGTATGTATTTTAATTATTTCTCTTGTTGATAAAAAAGGCGAATATAAACGATCATTAAATATAAAGTGACCCGTAACTGTTAAATAAGCCCTATTGCTATCTGATGTCCACAAATCAGTTGTAATTGAAACATTGTTGACACTTCTTAACATAGATTTAAGAATGGTAGCTATCTTATTATATTCATCCGGTAATAATTTCATAGTTAACGTTTTTCCACTAGGCGGCTTATACAAAGGCTGTAATTTTTTTGAATACTCCAAAAATTCAATATTATCAACTAATGAAAGTGGTTGATAATCAACAGAAATCATTTTGATTAGACTTTTGTCTATCGAACCTTTTTCTACTTCGGATAATTCATTACCTCTAATCGAACCAAATAATTTTAACTGGCGAGAACGTTTAGGTATAGGTGAAGTACAGGGCTGCTGTGAACTCGTATTAGAACCTGAATGTTCTAATTGTAAATTAGAACTAGTAGAAGGACCGGCCGATAATACATCTGAATCTAATTGTTGTTCAGTTTCTATAAGAGGATTAAGGTGTGCAAGATGTTTTCTCTTCAAATGTTCTTTAGATAAAACAAAAATAAATGCAAGCAAAATAAATAAATTGGAACTTAAAACAAAGTAATAGTAATTAAATTTGAAATTAAAAAAAATGTAATCAATTAAAAAATTGTAATACTCTTGTAAAAATAAAATAATATATATATTATAAAAAATAATAATATATCTATATACAACAAAATCAGTATATATTATTAATTTTATGAATTATAGTTATAACCTTATGATATCATGTAGTTAAGATCAGTGGCGTACGCAGGATTTTTCAATGGGGGCTTGAAAATAAATAATTACTCAGTTGTCACTGGTTTATAGGTTTGAATAATAAAGTGCTTTTATATTTCTTAATTAAATTAAGCATAAAATAGACAAGAAAAAAATATATGAAAAAAGAACTAACAAAAAATATAATAACAAAAATAATGAGCAATTGTTATCGTAGATTATAGATTTATATGGACTGTGGCACAGCTAAAGATAGTATCTTTAATCGTGTTTACTGATTATGGAATGTATAAAAATATTATCTATGAACCTTAGGAGTTTAGCCAGTTTAAGACAATATGGTCTGCATTGCTTGCAATAAATATGTAAACACACAATTTAATAAACTATATTAAATCGAGGTAAGGAAGTAGCAGAGGATAGGGATAGGTTGGATAGGTGGCAGTATGTTTATTTAGAGGTATGGTCTTGAATGGTCGAAACCAAGAAAGAAGAAAGAAGAAGATTAAATCGAAGTAAACATAAAAACAGAAAATAATAAAACGGGCAATGGGAGGGGGGGCTTCAGCCCGTTAACCCCCCCCCCCCTGCGGACGCCACTAGTTAAGATATTATCTAGTTAATTATTATGCTAGTGCTACACAGTACACACACATTTTACAAGTAGTTTTGAATAAGCATTTTTTATAAATTAAGAAAAAAATTAAAATCTAACGATTAAAAACTATTTAAAAGTAATTTAAAAATATTCATGTGTTAACAAAATTTTTTATTGCAGTGTAATAATGATATTTGTTTTAAAAAAGGGTGTTGAAGCGATCATCAAATACACGCTATAATCAAAATAAGAACTTCAAGTTTTGTTACTACATAGAAGAAAAAACCTAATCTATGACGTAGCGTTTTTATTCTTTTATAATTTAGTTAATATTATTACTATTATTATTATTACCTTTTAAATTTGTAGTATTGTTATGGTAATTGAAATCTTTTTTGCATATTTGGCACCTCACGCATTTTTCATTAATTTTTTTTAAAATGCTCCCATACCACCGATCTTTTAGGTGCCATTTTACTAAATATAAAATAAAATAAATAACAGAGAAACACAATGATAATAATTTAATAATACCATTGATTTTAAATAGTATTTATA